CTTTAGTTATTGATAGGAAACCGTTTTTACCTACAAGATCAATGTTACCTTGACCTTTGACCCCTAAATCAATGGGGGTCATCTGCTGGTCATAACTAATCATGATACCAAGTTTGAAGTACCTACGCCTAAGCGTTCTTTATTTATTGATCGGAAACCGTTTTCACCTACAAGGTCAATGTGACCTTGACCTTTGACCCTTTGACCCCAAAATCAATAGGGGTCATCTGCTGGTCATAACTAACCATGATACCAAGTTTGAAGTACCTAGGCCTAAGTGTTCTTTAGTTATTGATCGGAAACGGTTTTTACCTAAAAGGTCAATGTGACCTTGACCTTTGACCCCTTGACCCAAAAATCAATAGGGGTCATCTGCTGGTCATGACCAATCACCATACCAAGTTTGAAGTTCCTAGGCCTAAGGGTTCTTTAGTTATTGATCGGAAACCGTTTTTACCTACAAGGTCAATGTGACCTTGACCTTTGACACCAAAATCAATAGGGGTCATCTGCTGGTCATGACCAATCACCGTCTTAAGTTTGAAGTTTCTAGGCCTAAGGGTTCTTTAGTTATTGATCGGAAACCGTTTTAACATATAAGGTCAATGTGACCTTGACCTTTGACCCCTTGACCCCAAAATCAATAGGGGTCATCTACTGCTCATGACCAATCACCATACCAAGTTTGAAGTTCCTAGGCCTAAGGGTTCTTTAGTTATCACTCGGAAACCATTTGGTCTACGGACCGACAAGTGCAAAGCAATATACCCCCTCTTCTTCGAAGTGGGGGCATAATAATGACTCCATACATTTTTACCAAAGTATGAGTGCTGAAACTAAAAATTCAATTGTCCACCATTCAAGAGAGATAACTTTGTCCAAAATCATGGAACCACAACCAAATTCGAACTTGAACTGCTTATTCCTAAGATGTATGTATATGTCATATTTGAGTTGAATGTGTATAACCATTGGGGAGATAATGAATGGAAACTGAAAAATTTCTGATTTTTTTCAAAGTTCAAGAGGAATACCTCTGTTAGATGTTATCAAACAATGACCCAATTCAAACTTGACCAGTATATTCTTATGACATATCCATATGTCAAATTTGAGTTGAATATGTACAACTGTTTGGGAGATAATGAACGGAAACTTAAAATTTCTGATTTTTTTTTCAAAGTGAAAGGGGCATAACTCTGCCAAAAAATCATCAAACCATGACCAAATTCAAACTTGACCTGCGCATTCCTTTGACATATCCATATGTAAAATTTGAGTTGAATGTGTAATACTGTTGGGGAGATTATGTACGGAAACTGAAAATTTCATATTATTTTCAAAGTAAAAGGGGCATAACTCTGTCAAAAATCATCGAACCATAAACAAATTCAATCTTGACCTGGGGATCCCTTAGACATATCCATATGTCAAATTTTAATTGAATGTGTAACACTGTTGGAGAGATAATGAACGAAAACTGAAAATTTCATATTATTTTCAAAGTGGAAGGGGCATAACTCTGCCAAAAATCATCGAAGCATGACCAAATACGAACTTGACCTGCACATTCCTTTGACGTATCCATATGTCAAATTTGAGTTGAATGTGTAATACCAGTGGAGAGATAATGAATGGAAACTGAAAACTTCATATTATTTTCAAAGTGAAAGGGGCATAACTCTGCTAAAAATCATATAACCATGACCAAATACGAACTTGACCTGTATTTTCTCATGATATATCTATATGTCAAATTTGAGTTGAATGTGTCCAACCGTTACTAAGATAATGAACGGAAACTGATGATGACTGAATGACAGAATGATGGAGGGACGGAATGACGGAACAGGGTAACACTATATGCCCCTGCCATTATATGGAGGGAGCATAAAAATCTTTGTTCCCCGGGGCGGATCAATTTTGACTCAAGGGTTATAATTTTAACAATTTTTGTAAAGGTCCATCAGACAATATTTCATAACAAATATCTAAGCTAAAGTCTCAATAGTATGATGATTTTTTTTCTTACTATATCCAAAAAACAAGATTGCATTTGAGAAAAATGCTATGCCACCGCATGGTTCAAATTTCATAGCTGTACATCAAAGGACAAGAAAGTAGGTCACATCATCAAAATCTAGGTCATCTGATATCAAAGTTCAATTTTACAAATAAAACTTTGCACATGGTCAAAATTTCATTGCTGTATATCAAAGGACAAGAAAGTAATTCACTAACCCCTTGGGCAAGGCAAAATTTTGACCCAAGGGTTTAATTCAAAACAATCTTGATACAGGTCCAAAAAACACTATTTCAAGTCAAATATCTAAGCTGTAGCTTTCTCCCATTCAGAAAACATTTGTTTTATTTTCTGTTTTTACTATGTGTACATAATGAGAATCACTGCCCCCGGGCAGGGCCAATTTTGACACCAGGGGAAAAATTTGAACAACTTTGGTAGAGGACCTATAAATGATATTATATACCAAATATCAAAGGTCTAAGCCTTGAACCTTCAGACAAGAGCATTTTTTTTTAACTTTTCACTATATGTACATACTGAAAATCAATTACCCCTGGGGGTGGGGCCAATTTTGACCCCAGGGCTATAATTTGTACAATCTTGCTAAAGGTTCACTACACAATGTTTCATGCAAAATATCTTAACTCTAGCCTTTGTAAATTTAGAGAAGATGATTTTTTAAGTTTTTACTATATACATATAAGGAAAACCTATGGCCCCCGGGGCGGGGCTAATTTTGACACTAAAGGCAAAATTTGAACAAATTTCATAGAGTACCTATAGATGATATTATTTAACAAATATTAAAGCTCTAAGCCTTGTACCTTCGGACAATAATTTTTTTTGATTTTTTACTATATGTATATATTGAAAGTTTTTACTATATACATATAAAGAAAACCAATGACCCCCGGGGCGGGGCCAATTTTGACCCCAGGACTATAATTTGAACAATCTGGGTAGAGGACTACCAGACAATGCCTTATGCAAAATATCTAAGCTCTAGGCATTTTGGGTCTTTACAAGAAGGTATTTTAAGTTTTTACTATATGTACATGTAGTGAAAATCAATGACCCCCCGGAAAAGGGGCCGATTTTGACCCCAGGGCTATAATTTGAAAATCTTGGTAAGGGTCTACCAGACAATGCCTTATGCAAAATATCTAAGCTCTTTGCCTTTTGGGTCTTTACAAGAAGGTATTTTAAATTTTTACTATATGTACATATAGTGAAAATCAATGACCCCCGGGGCGAGGCCAATTTTGACCCCAGGGCTATAATTTGAACAATCTTGTTAGAGGTCTACCAGACAATGCCTTATGCAAAATATCTAAGCTCTAGGCCTTTTGGGTCTTCACAAGAAGATTTTTTTTAATTTATTCTTATAATTCCTTTTGGTTGCGATGGCAACCAGATTTCTGCATGGAATGAAATTCTTTGAACATGTTTGGAAGCCCTTCACCCAAGGATCAATCCTGCCAAGTTTGATTGAAATTGGACTAGTGGTTTTTCACAAGAAGATTTTTTAAGTTCACTATATAATCTATATAACACAAACACACACACACACACGCACGCACGCACGCACACACACACACACACACACAGGTGAATCGCTATATGCCACCGCATTGCAGATGCTGCGGTGGCATAAAAAAGGAAATTCAATAACTCCCTGGGACAGGCCAATTTGACCCAAGGATGTTTCATGCTAAATATCTAAGCTCTAGCTCTCATTCAATACTTTCAGATGAATATTTTGTTTTTGTTTTTACTATATACTGTATACATATAGGAAAAATCAATTTACCCTTAGGGTGGGGCTAATTTTGACCCCAGGCCCCGTGTTCACTAAGAAAAGATCAGGATCAGGTGATCCTGATTTTATTTTCATTGTTTAATGTTACTAAAATTATTTGTGTTTTGTTGAATTAAATTGTAAATATTCAAATTGTAAAAATATGCTGATTTGCAAAGAAAACAAACTATTTTGGGATGAAATCAACAAATAACAAAACAAATACAAAAATATTTGGATCAAAATAAGGATCAATTTTAGGATCAGGATCAATATTTGGATCAACTGTAAAATGCCCATATCTTGCAAAATTAACAATTAATTTATTCTAAAATTTCATATACTTGCTATTATAGGTCCTGTTTTATCAAATTTATAATTAGATATTTATCTATGAGGATAAACAATGAAGAATATTAGGGTTTTTAAATTTGATCCTGATCTTGATCCTGATCCTTAAATCTTTGTGAACATGGGGCCAGGGCCTTTATTTGAACAAACTTGGTAGACACCCACTAAAAGATGTTTGAAGCTTGGGGGTTTTTTTTAGAAGATTTTCTTTGTTTTTACTTTATAGATATAAGGAAAATCAATGACCCCCTTTTCTTTCTGTTACAATGGCAACCAGTTCTGCCTGCACCAAATTCAATTCTTTGAACAATTTTCAAAGGTTACCACCAAAGGAACATTCATGTAAAGTTTGGATGAAATTGGCTTGACAAGTTTCAATAAATTGCATTAGTGGTAAAAGGAGGTAGTCAGGACACTTTAAAAATAAAAATTATTAAAGGGCCATTACTCAGACAAAAATCATTGAACTGGAAAATGCTGACGATATGCAAAACTGGACTTGGTACTGATCACTCTTGTAAAGTTTGGACGAAATGTCACTAGTAGTTTTGAGGGGTAGTCCAGACAAGTTTTGTGATGGACAGACAGACAGACAATGGAGAAGTGATCTCTTTATGTAGAAATTTTTGAAGGATGCACTATGGATGCAGAGTGATCACAAAAGCTCACCCTTGAGCACCTTAAGGTCAGGGGAGCTAGAAGAAACTGGGCATATCCATTTATGGAATACAACTGGTTAAGACTAAAATGAACAAGGTAAGATTTTGTGATTTTAGAAAAACTCCAAATCATTACAGTATTAAAAACTTCTGAATTTATTTTTACCTTGTATGGGTCTCTTTCTGTTCAGGAGTCAGTATAGCAGGTGGTTTTTGTTTGGCCAGCTTAGATTCCTGACTCTCTACAGTTCTCACTACTTCCTGTCTACCAACCTGTGACACAAGGGTAGCTGCTGGAATGAGACTTTTCACATCATCTTGTTTTTGTTGCACCATGTGTTTCTGCATGGCAAGGAGTTTAGCTTGGATCTCCGGCGTCTGATTCTGCATTAGTGCTTGACGTACAACTATAATATACAACATCATGTTAAAGTTTGTTGCATTAATTATCAAGCTACATTGAAAAGGAAAAATTATATAAGGTGCAACTTCTGCAGAGGTGCAGTCCCTTTATAACAACAGTAATAAAATAGGAACACATCTAGTTTATTGGACCTAAGAAGATAAATAATATTAGCACATTTGTTTTTTTGTTGGTTTTATTTGGGGGGCGGGGGAGCTGCTGCCCCAAACACCACCTATTTTTGGTCAAACTTTTTAAGCTATGTGCGACAAAAGTTGAAAATTGGAAATTTTTTACGAAGTCAAGGGCAATAACTCTAACAAAACTGAAAAAATCCACATGCAAACCCTAGGACTAAGGTGCATAGCTTCACAATGATGTTGATCATTATTTCTGTAAAGTTGGTTGATTCTAACACAAGCAATCGAGGAACAAATAACACAACATAATGGAACTGTTTTCACTAAGTCAAGGGCAATAAATCTAACAAAACAGAAATAAATCCACAAGTGAAACCCCAGGTGCTTAACTTCACATGATGAACAACATTGCCTGTAAAGTTTCATGACACTAGATCAAATACTTTTTGAGTTATGTGCGACACAAGTTT